GACCTTTAGATAATTGAAGTCTGGCCGAAGCGCGTCTTTTTCTCAGCCTTCTATGCCAGCAAGGGCTGCCAGTCACAATGGCTGCAAAGCGATCCTAAGACCTGGGGCCTACGATGTTCCGCGCTGTTGCGGCTATTCGGGCCCTGCCCCCTGGGTTTAGGGTTTAGGGTTCATGGTCTAGGTTGAGCCCCCACCCACTAATAGTGACCACCATGGATAATGGCAATCTTATTGGGGTCCCTATGTATTCCACTATGGGCGGTGGGGGGCTAACCCAATTGAAATTGTAGCGCATTGGGAATAGTGAATTTGCAGGGGCGGTGGAGGGGGTCGAGATATTTGGGGGAGCTGATTACTACTCAAATGAGCCCTTGTCTAAACTCCGAGTATCCCCGTTAATAACCCCTATAATAGTTCTCTATATAGCCCCCGATATGACCTCCTTTAAGGAGTTTAGACTATAGCACAAATGAAGAATTGGCTTGAGGGCCTCAAGGCCGATGGCCTTACATGAAAGTCCTCCAACTCATTCAAAAAGGGGATTCCCGAAATGTGGGATATGTTTTGGGGATCCATGCTATATTATACGTATATATATATATATAATGGAATAACTGTTGGTCTCGACTGGGGTCCCCCCCTTTATGGAAAACATCAAATCTGATGCTAGCCATGGCTATCAAGAAAACTCGAGTAACAGTAGCAGCTATGAAAAGATTTGGTGATGATAGCACCCATCGTCCCAAATCTCCCTGCAAATATCTGAAAGCGCTAGCCGCACCCAAAGCCCTAAACCCTAAAGAGAGGGGGTTGTATAATCCCCTATATTACCCCCTGTGTCCAAGCAACAGTTCTCGTTTTCCGGCGCATCCAGGGGTTTGCAATAGGTCGAGGTGTACTGGAACTCATCCGGATAATAGGTGATGAACCTCGGCTTGGTCTATTAATTCTCTAACTTTGGGCTTAGGATTTACCTAGGGGCTACTATGTAGTGTAATTGGGGGATCTGTTGAGTTTTTCTGGGAAGGTATTCTAGTATATCCCCCAAAATGGAACCACTACATTCAAGACTTCGGGTTGGGCTTCTGTTGGGGGAAACTGCAAAATCTGAAACCTCACAAGTCCCTACGGGTAGTGGCGGGAAAGACAGCAGCGTAAACTCCAGGCCTCAGACACGAAAAGTATTCGCAACCTAGGTGCTGATGATGTAACGCGCTACATTATGGGAATAGAGTTTTAGGGTACTCCATACGAGAGCTAGGACTTGGAGATCATAGTACGGTATACTCAAGCTTGTCTCCCCTATGGTTTTGGAGATTCCTGGGCTTTTTAAGCTCCCCCTATTGTATTGATATAGACTATCCCTAGCTCCTTAACTCCCCAGAAGTATGGGTAGTTGTTCATTACCTTCATCCTACAGCCTCAACCGTAGTTCCATGCCTTCGCGCCCCTCAACTTGCCGGTTGTTAGTAGAGATCGGTGGAAGGGATCCACATGGTCTTCCCAAATTCATGTCCCGAGGTGTATGCTTGCAGACTGAACTAAGAAACGCGTACCTCGAAATGGGGTGTTCCCAATATGAACCCCCTGAGTGCGGAAGAGGGACCGTGGAAATACAGCAAAGTTTTTAAAGATTAGGGACCCCAAAGATGCACGCTATCGGTATGGAGGGGGGCCTTGAGACTAGCCTTAAGAACAGGCCTCAAAACGAAAGCCTCACGCATGGCTGGGGCTCTGCGATTCAAATTGCTCGATCCAGGGGCGCCTGAGGCCTGCACCCTTGGTTGGGGTTTAGGGTCTAGGCAATCATGCGTACTATACCGGCATGACATGCCCAGTTCAGCATCGAAGGGCGGGTGCTCCTCCTTCTTCTCGCCCTCGTCCTCCACCTGGGAGCTGGCCTACTCTTCCTTAAGCCCAAGATACTATCAATACCAATGCGGGGGACTTTCTTAAAATTGGGGGACGCTGCGAAGATATTTGTACTGCAACGGAGTTATGGGCCCTTTTGGGATTTCTTGAAGAACAGCTTCCAGAAAGTCTAACTTATCATGTATAACATTCTAACTCCAAACCCTCAAAGCTAAACGCCAAACCCTGAAACCTGAACCCTCAAGATTAAGCCCCGTGATCCTTATTTGTAACATGCTCCACCTTTTTTGTCTTTGCAGCGAGCTCCTGCGGAAGAGCAATGTGCAGGCAGACAGGAAACCAAAGTTGAGTAAGTACTGGGGTGTATGGTTTACGGTTCAGGGTTTAGGGTTTAGGTTTGGATTTACTTACTGGTGGTTAGTAGGGAGTAGGGGAGTATATTATATAGGAATAATTAAGGGTCATATTTCCTCATCCCCCACTCACCACCAGCAAGTTTAGGGTTAGGTGAGGGTGGATAGGTGGGTTTCTTCTTCTGGGAAGAGATTATAAGGTAGGGCCTGGGGTCTGCGGCATTACAGTAGGCATAGGTTTTAGGGTAGGATCAGGTTACAACCTCTGAGGGTTCTCTTGTGATCACACTGGTTTCTCCTTTTACTTAATTAAGACCCTGTAAACACCGACCTTAACCCCGACTCCAAGAACCAACGCATGCATTCGGGAGCATCTGCAGCATGGTAACACTCTGTCGTGTTGAACAAGCCCGTTATATGATACCCTTTTCACCATTCAATACTAAATAATTTGCAAGCATTCAGCGATGCTGACGACAAGGGAATCTCGACATAAGCCTTTCACTTCAAGCTCTAGGGTGAGTGAGGATCAGGATTGGACGATGCAAGCTTCTTGCAAAGGCCCTAAGCCTGCGCCAGGTCAGAACGGAGGCGGGGATTCGAGCCCCTAAACCCCAAACTACTGGGTTGCTGTTAAGGAACTTAAATTAAGTTACTATATTGGAACCCTATTATTTACTATATATACCCATTATGGTAACTTAATTTAAGTTCCCTAACAGCAACCCTAAACTAGCGGGTTTAGGGTCTGGGGCTTCATGGCACGGAGGTGAGGACTGGGATGTATGCTCAGACTTTGCTTGAATACAGCAGCGTGGTGGTTCTCTCAAAAACTCCGTGTGCACGCGGTCTTGGCTGGCAGCGGCTAAGTAGACCTATGAAAATTCAAAAAAGTAAGCTATGTTTGGTGAATGATTTGCGGACGAGGCGTGGGCTGGGGAATGGGAACCACCTCAGATTCAAGCCAGACATTCGGGTGTTGAGAAATATTCAGTTTGTCCTACCATAAGGCTCTTGAACCCTAATTAATAATGAAAGCTGACATATAGTATGAACAGCCGTATGGTAGACCCTAAGCCCAGCTATTTCATAAAAGTTGCAAAATCTGAAATTCTGCCAACCCGGCGCTGTTCTGTACATAAGCCATGATTTCGGCCGTTTGGCGTTTCGGATTACAATTTGCCCCGCCCGAAGCCCAAAAGCCCTAAGACTCTAAACACGAAGCCCTAAGCCTAACTCTAAACGCTGCACCCTAAACCCTTAACTTAACCCGAAACGATAACTCTCAACCCTACATAAGCTATAGTCTAAACTCCTAGTATCCCCCTTAATAAGCCCTATCGTAGTCCCATATATCATCCCCTATATAACCCCCTTTAAGGAGTTTAGACTATAGCTTACATAAGCCCTTAACCCAGCTTATCCGTATATAACCCTTTATAGTAGTTTCCATTTTCTTTTCCATTATCCCTAAAAAACCCTTTATAGTAGTTTCCATTTTCTTTTCCATTCTCCCTAAACCCTAAGCCCTAAACCCTAAACCCTTTATAGTAGTTTCCATTTTAACCCGGCTCCTCCACCGCCGAGAGGTCCGCTTTTAGTGGCTCCAGGGCGTATGTCAGCGATGCCAAGGCAGACGCCAAGGCCACGTGAAAGCCTGGAAAAGGTTTAGGGTCTAGGGGTTTAGGGTTTAGGGTTAGGGGGTGGCCGCAATATGTGATAAGGGGAGTTTGGTAACCCCAACCCCCAAAATTATGATAGTTATAGGGTCCTAATTTTGGGGGTTGGGGTTACCAAAATCCATTCATTAATATAGAACCCGCTGCAATTTAAGCCTCATTGCAAGGACTCCTAAGAGGGCATAACCAATTTTTGGAAGCCCCCAAAACTCATACTCATGAAAAATCATGACTGTAAATAGCTCATGATGGGGCTTGGCATGGTAGAAGATGAAAAATCCATTTCACCGATGGCCGAGGGTGAGGCGGGAAGGATGATGTCGAGTTTATACATACTGTACCTGGGGTTCATATTCATGATGGTTTATACCTGTGACCCCAATCACCTGCAGCTTTATCGGTTACACCTATTCATTAACGGGTAATTACTATTAAGCTGCAGGTAAGTGGGGTAAAAGGGAAGGCTTGTAAAAGATTCCATGGAGAGTCCTGGGGGTTTGTGAAGGCTTATCAGATGATTTATGCTATGATGTGCTTTCCTGTAAATGCGGTGCTTCATACGGATTGGAGAGGCTCAGCCGCAGAGAGAACAGTGCCGGAACGGGTGGAGCACTTAGGCCCCGGGCCTCTTTGGGAGCATAGAAGGATTCCGTTTTGTTTGAGGTACTTCTCAGCTAAGACTTACGCGTATGTGGGAGTCCTGAGAAAATTATCTAAACGCCTCCTCTACTCTCGGCACTAGGTTCTTAGAAGCTGCCACATGGGGAGTTCCGCAAAGAGGGGGAGGGCCATCAATATCTATATCTCTATATTAATACATGCATGTGTGTGTCCAATATGCGATAGTCCTTGGGCCAAGGGACTGTTAAAACGGGCACGCAATGGTTAGAACTCCATAGATAGGGTTGCCAGGGATTGACAGCAGGTTGTCTGTGTTGGGCTCATTTGGTCCCGTTTGCACACGTAGTGACATCACAGTGCGGTACACCCTAAACCCTAAGCTCCAAACATGACTTCAATTCGGCTCATGGCTCAAATCATGATAACTGCGCCATACATCTCTTTGGGGCTAGCAATCATTGAGCTAGCTGTAGAGTCTTCTTTGCCAAATCTAAAGAACATCCATGTAACTTACCACTTCTTAGCAGGGAAAAAGGGAATATAATTCATAGGGGTTCTATAGAGGATGTGTTCGCGTATTCCCTCCTAAGAACCAGTAAGTAAGACAACTAAGTCAAAAACAAAGTGTTCCGCCCTTTGCACCCTAACTATGGCCGCAAGGATCTCAGGACCCCACTGAAATCCAAACACTAAGCCCTATAGTCCCCCTTAAGTAGATAGAATATAGCTCTGGGTATGTTAGAATAAGATCCCCATATACCTCATATTCTATCTACTTAAGTGGGACTATAACCCTAAATAAACCCTAAATAGTAGTTTCCATTTTCTTTTCCATTATCCTAAATAAACCCTATAATTCTATCTACTTAAGGGGGGCTATAGACCAAAGCATCATCCAAACCCTTGCCTGTTGACCGCAGAACCATGCTTGCCACGACCACCTATGCCGGCAAATACAGGCTACGGCTAACTTGCCTCGCCTAGCCTGCAGTGGCGAACGGCGAGTCAAGTGCTCTGAATCCAGGGTTTTAGGGTTTTGGTGGTTTTAGGGGTTTAGTGTCATTTTTGTGTTTAGGGGCAACATGCACATCTCTTCTCCTACAATGAACCAGGCCATGAAACATGCAAGCATGATCTGCGAATACCTGGATAAGGGATTATAATACCATCCCCCCGAAGGTAGCCCCCCAGTGTTAAAGGAGCTAATAAAGTGGCTTAAGTAGGCCTAATAAGGTTCTCAATCTTGGGATGGTATTTGTGGGGGTGCTTGTATTGTGGCCATATAATCCCTGTATCATCCTTACGGGTTATGTAATGATTCGATAGATTTTATATGACTGCTATAAAAATTTCATATTATCATTACATTGCCCGTATATAATCCTCATATAATCCCCAGGCTGTTTTTCAATCAGGTTGGTGGCCTCTCTAGCCGTTCCCTACGTAACCCGATGTAGCCCACGAGTAGACTAAGGGAAACCCTGGATGGTCCGCCGAGAACAGACACTCAGCTGGAGAGATTGCTGAGCAACCACCCAGTAGACTTGAATTGAAAAGTAACCTAAACCCTAGACCCGAAACGCGCATTCTCAAAAGAGGGTTATGCTGAGCATCAGCCAGCTCTAACAGCATCATCAAGGAATTAGAAGGATAGGGGTTCAGGGATTTAGGGTTGGACGTGGCTGGGGGGGAGGGTGTAATATTTCGGAGGGTACTTAAGTAGGGGTTCGTGGCGAGTCGGAAGTAGGAATTCAACGACATGTGTACAGTCCTCAGCATATGGTTTCCAAAGCCTCCTAAACCCTAACTACCCTACAGCTATCAGTTGAAAGACCGACCTTGCCAATATCCAGAACTTGGCAAACGCTTATGACCTCATTGTGCATACATAGAGTGTGTATATATTCATGTATATGTCTATATTCATCCTCGTGCAGGCTCCACCTGTGGAACCTAGCGGGGGCCAAGCCAGATAGCCGTTCTTTTGCAAACTTGGCATGCGACGCGCTGTCCTGAACAGGTCTCTCCTAGCTGCACAAGCTGCAAGCTGGAGGGAAGCTTTTGGAGACCCACTGTTGTACTTGTCTCATGGAAGCAGGTGCGGTCTAGCAGTAGTAGTGGTAGTAGTAGTAGTAGTTGTTGTTGTTGTTGTTGTTGTAGCAGCAGCAGCAGCAGCAGCAGCAGTAGTAGTAGTAGTAGTAGTAGCAGTAGTAGTAATCGTAGCAATAATTATTAGTAGTAGCAGCAGCAGTAAGAATGGTAGCTGTAGTAGTCGTACTAGCAGCAAAAGTACCCTACATCTGGTGATTTAAGCAAGTTGGCAAGTGGAGTTTAGGATACGAAGCCTCTTCGAGGCTCCGAATTACAATTCAATTCAGGAGAGCCCACGCGGTTTAGGGTTTAGGGTTTGGCAACCAATGCTAAAGCATTTTCTATGCGACGTGTGCGCTAGCTTTGAAGCCAAAACCTTAAACCCCAAATTAACCTCAGCTGAGCCAAGAGTTCCTCCAAATGACGATTTTCTCGGGTGTCCTTCTATAAGGTTCCCTAAAACAACGATGGGGGTATACAGTGGAAACCCTGATACAAAAATACCCGAACCAAACTGGGAAAGGGATTGAGATCCTGAGGGTTGTCAAAATGGATTGCAATAGGGAGCAGACATGGACTGTTTGTAAAACCCTCACTTGGAGCTCCGCAGGGTTAGGATAGAACACCCTAAACCCTAAACCCTAATCCTACACCCTAAACCCTAAATCCTAAACCAAAAACCCTAAACCCTAAACCCTAAACTACAGGTAAAAGCTGCTAGTATGAATCGTCCTGTTGAGGTATACGCTTCTGCCACCAAACTAACACGGTACCCAGAAAGAGCTGCGCGAAAACTCCCCTTCTACGGGAGAAGGACGTACTATGGGGGGCTCCATGTTTGTTTTCGGGAGACTGGTTCCTTAGGATCGCGGATAAGAATAAGCTTTCGGCAGCCGCAATTCCCAAAACTAGCACCCTGTAACCATCAAATGACCGAATTCGAAGGCACAAGGGTGACAGGAACCTATACTAACTCTCCAAACTCAAGCATGCCCTCGAGGGAATCTTGGAAGGAAGGGCACTCAGACCTTGATGGACCCGTTACAAGCTCTTTTGAAGGAAGGCCTTTAGTCTTCGTGGGCGCTTACATACCATTGCCATACCTGTACTGCGCTGTGACTACCGCACCACTTTATTACCACATCATACCACATCACTATGCTACTGCATGATTGGTGCTACATTACTATTTTACTGCATCAACCTCTTATTGTATGACTATAGGACTATATCACTGCCATATTCCTGTATTTCTATACTACGTACTTATGGCTATTAGAAGCCGTTGCCAGGGCTTTCCTCTGCAATGCTCAACACTCTGTACAGCGGCGCGGGAAGGGAGTTTCCAGGTAGTGCAGCAATATGATATATATATATACATATTTGTATACATATATACATATATGCGCATGGCTGAAGGACGAAACTGACTTCCTCTCACAGAACCTCTCTGGTCTTCCAGAGTGGCCCTGCGATGACTGCTTAAAGCTGGCTGCGGCTTTCCCACCCACCGTGCCAGCAACACTGGAAATAGTCTGCAGCGAGTGCAGAAAGGCCCCGGCTGCTGGCGGCGCGTCGGCAGGGCAGGTCGCTGTTCGAATTGCTGGGCGAAGGGCCGCAGGGCTGGCAGGGGCTACTGCTGATGCTTTGCAGACGTTCGGCAAAGTAGTCCTAAGCCTATAATCTCCAGCAACTACTCTCGTAACCCCCACAAGCCCCCAACCCAAAGCGAAAGCCCTCACAGAGTCAGACGACAAGCTCCTTTTCTTGACCCTCCGCAAGCATCGTGCGGATCAGCGGCACCGCAGACCTACCGAGAGGGTTTAGGGTTTAGGGCCCACCTGTTGGCTTTCTGCACATTTTCAGCAGCAAGAAGAGATCAACTGCAAAACTTCAAGGTGGAACGATGCCCACAATGGCTTGTTGTGGCTTAGGATTTAAGGTTCTTGGCTTAGGATCTAGAAAGTAGATCCCAGGTAGTATGGGGTACCATATTGGGGGCTCTATACTTTTTAGATCTGGGAGATAATCCTGCCTCTCGGTGAACCACGAAGCATACTGGCTGGCGGTACTCATCTCTAATCGGCTTGTCCTTGTCATCATGGATATACCCTCCCTAGGGTTTAGGGTTTAGGGCTTAGGGTTTAGGGTTTAGGGTTGGATAACTAGGGTTAATGAAGGCTACTTACAGGGGAACCCAGGGGGGTGTGGTATGGGACGGTTGTAGGGGGGTTTAGGGTTTAGGGTTTAGGTCCCTGATGTCGAG